ACTGTTTTTCACAGTCTTAAAGTATTATAGTGAAGGTGGCTGGTGGGCCTTATATGGTACGGACGTGTAACCACAGCAATGCAGCTCGGCACCCCTGTAATATTCTTAGCTCATTTACCCTGTGAGTGAGAGGATGATTTACTCTCTCTGAGCACTCCCTTCCCATGCCAGTCCTTGCCAGCGAATATGCAACAGCAGAATCGCTGCCCTCAAATTCAGGAGTGACTCCACAGACTTCAAATTTAATCAATGCCTTAAAAAAAAAATAAAACTAGCTTTTCATATCCAGGTCTGAAGAGCTAGAAGGTGAACCCTCAAGGATTCTCAAGCAATTGCGATCATTGGTTTGAAACAGTCTGAGGTCTCAGCATTGGAACAACAGTAAAGTTAGCTTACTGGAGAAAAGAGAAAAAAAAATAGTTGAATCACTTGCAGAAATCTTGGTTTGAACGTTTCTTTTCTGGGCTCTACTTTCCACTTGATATGTACTGGAAAACTCTAACAAGACTTATCCCCCTCTCCTTTCCAGGGGTGCATAACACACGACTGAAGGCTTCGTTCACGTTCACGCTATTGTTCTGCCTCCCTTTGTTTTAGCCTAGCTTATCTTGGAAACTGAGGCTGGAAGTTAAAACCGTCGTAAACCCATACAAAATACACTTCAGCATGAGTCAGAGATTTTTTTTTTTTCAGCTAACTGAAGGGAAGTCAGAGGAGAAACCTCCCTCTATCATCTGTACATAGAGTTCACTGATGAAGATATGATAAGAAAATTGCACATATGAATGTACAGCTATACAGCTTGTGTGCACATGCAAGCTTACACACCGTTTGAATTTGAGCCCATTTTCAAATGCTTACTTCTGGGGATTTTAGCTTCTTAGGTAAGGATAATGTTACCACAGACTATTGGGTAGTATAAAAAGAAGGGAACAACAACAGAAAAAAAAAATCAGCAATTGTCAGCTTTTTTTGCTTTTCAGAGATCTGAAGTCTTGCTTTCCGTTTTAAAGAATAAACACATTCAACCTAATTATATCCTTTCTTTCTTCATAAAATGGATGTTCTGTGGGTGCTGCCAAAAGACATTTAAATAAATTTTCCTCTCACCCTCCACATACCGGGTTTCTCTCGTTCTTACTTTTCCTGCTCCTCATTATTTCTATGGGGATAGTAAGACACCGATGAATCTCGTACTCTTTTGCACTAAAGCATCTGACTCACTGTGTTCCCTCATGCTGGCATTGGCGCTCAGCTGGCCTTACAGTAAGGCAGCTCAGGGAGTTAAACTGGTAAAAAAACAAGCACAAAAAAATAGTTTTCCGCCAGCACAGCTCACCCATTGGCAGGAGAGGCGAGAACCACAACACCATGGCTAATATTCAGCAGGTCAGCTCGAGGGGCACTGCCTGGCGATACCCTAAGCCCAGTTACGTTGGACCCAATTTGTTGTGTAACATTCATTTTCTGGGGCTTATGAGGTTTGAGCACGCTAGAAATGCTTCGAACACAGCCCCGTTCCCGGCGGCTGCCAGCGGCAGTAGATATAGAACGAATCCAGCCTGCTCACCGTTCATATTGAGGTACTGTGTCAACAGCCTGTGATCTGAGGAATGCTTTCTGGACTGCTATCAAGTTCCTGAAGGACAGTGCAAAAACCAGGTCACAGTGTGCCAGGCTCTCCCGTTTCCAGCTGCTGAATCAAAGGGAAAGAAAGAGAGCAGGAATTCAGTCTATCTGCTCCTCTGAACTAACTGCACCCACTGACGTTAGTGCTGCACGGATACTCTGCAGCTGCAAAAAAGAGGTCACGAGGTCTGCGTGGTTCCAGCTTGAGACGACTTTTCTCAATACCTCCCCTATTCGGAGCTTGGACAGGCTTTTAATATGATAAGAAACCCAAAGGGTAAAACAAAACAACCCAAGAGCTCCCTCACACTGCTTGTTTTCTCATTCCTACCTGAGTTTATGGCAACTTAAAGTCATTCAGGCCATAAAACCCCTTTTTCCCCTCGTTTAGGCCTGTATAGCTCTCTACTACCCCTCTACTTCCAGCTACTGCCTGCACTCCTCTCTCCCAGTCATCAGCAGATAAGCAAGATGCTTTTATCAGCCTCCTTGCTGGCCTTTCAAATAGTCTTCGTTTCCCTCCTTCCCCTCCCCTTGAAACCAATCTTGTCTCAAGCCTACGTGGCAAGTTCATCCACATTTCTGCTGAGAAACTCTTGCCTCATCTCTCACGTGTTTGGATCTTGGAAGCGGTACCCACCATACCTGCAATCTCAACAGATGCAGCTGGACATGGGGAATGGACAGCTGGAAGGGCAAAGGCAAGGACAGACGGGTGGGGTCATCTAGACCTAAGAGGATGATCAGACCTTGATGGGAGGTTACATTCCTGGCTGGAGATAAGAGAAAAGCTGGGCTGAAAAAAAAGCCCAGCGATTAAGAAGAAGGAGCTGGAAGTCACTGACTTTGAACGCCAAGGAATGCTTGACTCGTTGCAGAGGCAGATTAACACTCATCTGCAGAGAAAACTCACTGAAGAAATGCGGTTTTAATGAAACGCATCTGCAATGTTTTTTGAAAACATTAAAAACTTTGAAAAGATTTTAAGGCAAAAAATAATATGGTCAAATGGTCATTTCCAATGCACTTTTAAAAATATTAAAACTGGCCTAATTTTTTAAAAGTTAGAGAGAAATTGAATATCCCGACTTTAAATTTATTTTTTTTCACCATCAGTCTAAAACAACTAACACTTTTTCAGCTCAAAAAAGTCGTACAGTGTGAATTCAAAGTGAAACATTCCTTGTCATTGCCTTGGCATTCCCCCCCCCCCCCAAAAAAAAAAAAAATCTAGTTTTTATTTACTTACCTTAACAGAACCTCCTTTCAGATATGGATATCTGCTTTCTGGGACTCAGTTGCGTCAGTCTGGGCACCCAAAAATCAAGGAGTTTAAAACTACCTGTTATTTTTAGAAACTCTTTTCACTAACAAAAAAACCTCACCCCAGACTGTTTAGATAAAAACGATAATGTAGGCTTGTGCCGCACTCATTTTGCATCTATCTTTTCACATGTCTCACGGTGTAGATTAGCAACAGGCATATCTGACACAGCACAAATTCTGCATGCGAAAGGCAATCAGATAGACTGAAATAGATCCCCCTTGGTGATGCAAGCTATCAGGAGAATTAGAGATATGCTGAAGAGTGCAGCTCAAGATCTGGCCTTAGCCATGGAAGACTGGAAGCACACCAGTTAAACAGCTTTTACCCAAAATTTGCTGCAAAACTCGGAGCTGAAGTTCACAAAGTGCCTCCAAGCAAAGCTGTACGAGACTCAGCAGTTGCACTTCGTGGGAGTTTGCATAAACGTTTTCACCTCCTGACACACAAGTGAGTTCCCCTCCAACAACTTCAAACGAGTCCGAATCTCTGATAGTGCTAATTCAGTCAGCGATAACCAACTGCAGCTGGTTTTACAATGAGAAAGGGAATTGTGAGACGCAGAAAGACCATTATACACAAAACTGATGGCAAAGCCAGGAACTTCCCCAAATTAAGCCAAAGGGGTTTGGGTTACTTAAAGGGGCATATTGTAACTGTCAGGGTGTGCTTCAGCCGTGATCAGAAATCCTGCATATAATTCGGAGTCCTGTGTGAAGGTTGGGGGGGGGGGGCAAAGAACAGGGGTTGGATTGTTGGTTTCTGCAATCCATACAAGTGAAAAGCTAGGACGTATTAAAAACAGGTCTCTCCTTTAAGTCAACGTGCTCTGCTGCTGACGGTATGCTTTAAATCTATGTTGCAAGCTAAGTACTTGCTTTTAGCTTGAATTAAGTTCTTCCAAAAATACATTTAAAACCAGGAAGGGATAAAACCCGCAGAGCAGCACCAGCAGCAGTACAAGTTTTTGTTGCGTTCGGGGCGGGGGGGGGCGGTGGTGGGTGTTAGGAGGTTTGTTTTGCTTTTCTTTGTTGGTCGTGTTCCCCCCACCCGCTCCCGCACGGGCAGTGCACCGGGCTTATTACGTCACTGCTTCATTATTTCGTATTTTACTATTTCCTTATTCTACTATTTTATTAGTTCATTTTTTATTATGTCATTATTTCATACCTTTATTGTTTCATTATTTCACTATTCCATTATTTTATTATTTCGTTGTTTCATAATTTTATTTTTTTTATTTTTATTATTGCTGTTTTATTATTGGTGTTAGTTATTATTTATTGTTATTATTGCTATTTTTGTTATTAATTTTGAGAAATATTTAATTATTAAATATAATTAATAATATTTAATTATTAAAATTAAAAATTTAATTTTGAAGTTTTATTAAAAGAGCTGAAATGCCCACGCATTTGCGCCAACCAAAAGGTAACAGGCAAGCAGCCCCCCTGGCAGCCAGCATCTCCATCAATCCATACTGCAGGGAAAAAGAAAAAAAAAAAAAAATCTCCTGCCTACTTCTCCTCACCCTCACCTCCCTGCAAGCCCCAGAGTTATAAGGTTATCGATGCTATACATCGCAAAGTTAGCGTTGGGGAAAAAATCACCTTAGCGGTGACGCAAATCAAGGTGGTACTTGGCACAGGCTGCTGGCAGTGAGTGGCAAAATAAAACAACAAAAGACATTCTGGTTGATAACTGAGTTGCATTTATTCACTTCAGTTTGCTGTCTAAGTAGATAACATTTCTGGTGTTCTCATTTCTGAAATACCTCTACTGTTTCCCTGAACATGATAAGGGAACACTGGTCATGCAAGTTACTTTTAGACTTTTAAATAACTTGCACAGAATCTAACAAGATGTTCGTTAGTAGCTCAGTTTCTTAATCTGGGAAGATACTGCCTTAAGAATGGCTGAAAATCCACAAGTGTAGGTGCTAAACGCTTGGCTGCTATGGAAATGTTGATGCCTGAAGAACGCTCGCCTGAGTTGCTGG